GCCCACAGGAAGCCAAATTCTGTCACCTGCCTAGCCAGCCAGCACTGCAAGGGGCACAGGCACCCCATCCAACCCTGCCCAGCCTATGTGGGGCCCTGCCTGCAGCCACAAACAAGTATGTGGTGAGGGCCAGGTCAGGGAGTGTCTCTGGAACATTCCACGAGTTTGCAAGAACCTGAGGACAGGGACTGAGCCTGGGCACCCTTGGCAACAGCGCGTCAGCCTACCCTTTATCATGTCAACAGCAAACTGCACCCACACATTGCTGGTTCCTGGCTTCTTTCAAAACAGGAAGCTCTGGCCATCCTGTTCCCCCCCCCCCCAGTGGTTACTGTTGACATAAGAACAGCTACCCCTGTAGCTGGGGCCTACACACGCCTGTTCACCTCTGTCCCTTCTCCCCCAGTCTGGTCTGGGGCAGCCACCCATCAGGTTACACCCACTGGCTCCCATGTGTGAGCCACCTGAGCCAGAAAGGCCTCTGAGTCCGGAACCTAGCTCAGGTCACTAGGCACGTTTAAAAGGACACCACCAGGGTGGACAGACCTCCCTGAAAAGAACGAGGTCCTGCCCAGCTGGGCCCAGACCTTCCTGAGCAAGCAGAGAGGCCCAGCCTCGGGAGGGGCCCGGGCAGGCCACCAGGCGACCTGGCCCCAGGAAAGCCGGCAGAGGGTGGGGAGGGGACTGGGGCTGGTGGCGACACCTGTATTTATTGTGGGTGAGGGGAGCCCTCCAGGTGCCCCGAGACAGCTTATAACAACAGCATTGCTGCCAAGTCTGCAGGACCCGGCTGTCAGGTCAGCCCCCGGTGGGGGGAGGACAGGCCCAGATGGCAGTGCAGGGCAGGGGCCGCTACCCAGACCTGAGGAGGTGGAGGCAGGCCTGGAATTAGGGGTCAGACTCTAAGGGGTTAAAGAGCCAGGACTGGCACCCTGCCTCCCAAGGCCTGTGACCTGGTGGCCCCCGGGTCCTGGCACAGCAGCTTCCAAGAGGCTGCGAGAAGGCAAGCCCTGCCTGCCAGGCGGGCTGGCGGGTGAGGACCCGGCACGGACCTCATCACCAGCTCAGCTTCACAAGCAGAGTCCGGGGGGGTAGAGACGGAGGCTCGGGCTGGGCACCCACTGTCCTGCTCTGGGAGAGACGACGGGAACCTGGCACGGAGGCGGAGGAGGCCCGTCCCTCTCAGCAGGGACTGGACAGGACACACTCGGGCCGGGACTGGCCGCGGCCGCTCCCTAGAGCTGGTTTGCTCTTCGGGGCCAGTCACAGCAGCCGGGGCCCTCAGGACCACCGGGGCAGCCTCGGGGCTCAGAGGGAGCACCCTGAGGGGAGAGAGGCGTCACCTGCGGCTCCTTCCCTGAGAGTCTTCTTTTCTGTCACGTGCGCCCAGCAGTGGAGCCCGCCCGGTCTGTGCCTGGAGGGCGGGGGTCCCCGGGGGACTTGCTCCTGGTCTCCCGCTTGTTCCCCAGCAGCTTCAGCACCTTCATGTTCTTGAACTTGCCCTTCCTCTTGCCCTCGGGCTCAGCCTCCTTCTGGAACTCTGCAGGAGAGACAGGAGCCTGCACAAGGCCCAGAGGGCCACCCGCCTGGCCCCAGCGCTCAGGGACAGCCCTTGGGGATGCAGATGCAGGGCTCTGTGGTGACGGAGACCCGGCCACAGCAACACCTCTGACTTTATGGACAAAAACTCCGGGTCCCGTGGGAACAGGGATGCCCACCCACGCCCGAGCTGGTGTCACCATCAGCGCTGTTTGGCAGGTCAGAGGCAGGAAGGGGCTGCTGAGAAACCCCCTTGGTCCTAAGTGGCCGAGCCGTCTGCCTCTAGGGCCCAAACTCAGGGCCCCTGAGGCCCGCTCTTCCAGTCCCCTGGGCAGCCCCAGAACAGCGGCAGAGCTCACCCTGGAGCAGCAGTGCCCCCGCCCCCCACCGCAGCCCTGTGGGGGGTCTAGGCACCCCAGCCCCCACTCAGAACTGAGGAGCCAGCAGAGCACAAGCTCAGGCCTTGGAGCCCCCTTTAGCCTCTCGATCTGCGCCCTCCACCCTAGCTAAGCACACAGCAGTCCCAGGGGTGCTAGGGCCCCCACCCCTACCCCGTGCAGCCCTGTCTCCAGGAGAGGCCTAGTATTTCCCTTCTCCTCCTCTCTCCTTTTTTTTTCCCCTAAGAAATTAATTTTATTTGTTGTTAACACACATAGCCAAACGTACACCAAGGCAGCCACCTCCACGCAGGGACAGCGTCCTTCCTGTCCAGTCTTCCAAGTGGCCTGGAGATGGCGCAGGGGGACACAGACCTGCTCCCGGGTTTCCCAGGAGAGGTGGGTTCAAACTGCCAGCCTATTGGTTAGTTGCCTATGGCTTAACCCACTGCACCACCAGACAGACCACAGGTTCTTTAACTTACTTGGCTCACAGGAAAAAAAGACCCCATGACCTCCTCAATGGCGACTTTTTATACCATACACAGCATAGCCCATAGTCCAGGACTTTAGCCGCCTCCCTGGAACATTCCAGAGACCCCCGGGGCAATACCGCCCACTTTGGCAAACACTGCTGCCGGCAGAGCGATCTTAAAGTCTTTATTAATCACGCTCAGCCCCTGCTGGGTTTGAAGAACATAAGGTTGAAGGAGAAGGAACCTCCAGGCCAACGTGGAGCCCGGAGAGCCTCCCCACTCCAGGACTCACCTTTCTTCTTGATCATGGCTGCCAGCATCTTATCCTCCTCTTCCTCCCTAAAAGGCCAACAGGAAGCTGAGCCACCACCTCCTGGTCCGCTCAGCCCTGGCCCACTCCCAAGGTGCACTGGGACCACTGGTGGGGTGGGGGGTGGGGACAGGAAGGCAGGGCTTGCCTGGCCCTGGGCTAGAGACCAGACAGGAAACAACCCCCACCCCTGGTTGGAACGTCCTCGTCCACCACCCGCCCGCCTGCCGCCAGCCAGGCCACCTCTGCCGGTCCTCGTCCAGGCAGTTGATGATGGCATCGCGCTGCTCAATGAGGGTCACCAGGTCCTGCATCAGCACCTTCTCCCGGCCACGGTCCCCCTCCGTCCAGTCCTTCTCTGTGCAGGGAGCGAAGTGAGCGTTAGTGTGGGCCCTCCCCTCTGAGAACAGTGCCGGCTGCTGACCTGGCCCGGTACTTAGAGCGGAAAGGAGGGTCCCAGGCTCGGGTGCTCGGAGAAATTAAAGCTATTAAGGATGGGGCCAAGGACACTAGGCTGTCAACCCAAAAGCCTCCCCTCTGGGGGTGAGTGGGGACTCTCCTCCCTCGCCCTCCCCCTGCCATAGTGTTTATTCCAGGTTTCCTGGGGAGGCAGGATGCCCTGGGCCTCCAGGAGTCCCCTAAGGTGGCTAAGGTGCCTTGGCCAGCAAAGCCAGACCAGAGGTGGGAAATAACAGGGGGCCTCAGGGGGCCCCATGCAGGAGAAGCAATGTCCCCCTAAGAGGTACATTGTCCAAGGCCATGCAGCAGGCCAAGTGCCCACGAGACCAGAGGGAGACCCGGCAGGACCACCCCACAGGACCATCTTTTGGGTCTCTGCAGCCCCAGGCTCCTCGGCGGTGGGTCTCCAGCCTTGGGCTGCCCTCCACAGCCTCTCCCACCAAGGCCCCCTACCCCCAACCCACGAGGAGCAGATGGTTCAGCAGTTCTGGGGACAGAGCAGAGGCTTCCAAATCACCCACCCAGCCAGCTGCCAGTCCCATTGTCCAAACCATTGTCCAGGCCGGAGCGGGCATGGGAGGACGCCAAGACTCACAGTGGCTGAGCCCTGGTCCAAGTGTCACTGCTGGTGAGGGAGGAGCTAGTATTTGAACCCAGGCAGCTGACTCCCCAGCTTTGGTACCAATGGTGTCTTTATAATGCCCTCAAGGCCTTATAGTTCTTGTCCTCCAAGAGGGACATGGGGACAGGGTGACAAGCCCAGGGCCAAGCCCGTCGGGGGTGCACAGGTGCTGCTCCCGCACTGGCCAGCAGGTGTCACTGCAGTTCCCTCGGGCAGGCTGCAAGGGTCCAGCCTCCAGGAGGTTGGGATTGATTGAGACCGTGGAAGACAGGGACATTACCGTGGCTTCTCCCGGGACACTCAGCCTCCGAGTCCCCAGTCAACGAGGGGCAAGGAGCCACCTCAGCAGCAGGAGGTAAGGGGATGGCCTGGCTCAGAGCCAGCTCCACCATAAAGGCGGTGGGCCGAGCATCCCTGCCTTCTGTCCAATGGAAACCGGGTCCTTGCAGCCTGGGGTGGGCTTGAGGCCAAAACACGGAAGCACGGGGGACACCAAGCCTGGGACACCGAAGGTGGTCAGGAACCCTGGCTCCTGGCCACAGCCCTCTGGGGTGGCTCAGCTTGATTCCGACTCAGCCACTGCCCACCCCCCAGGAGACAGCCCTTCTATGCCCAGCACCCATCTCCCACGGGCACAGTGGGGGGGGGGGGGCAGGGAGCCCCACATGCTCTCCTACTCATGGACCCACAAAGGTTCCTGCCAAGGTCACCCCACAAGTGTGTGTCGGAACCCAGGCCCAATCCACGCCATGGGGCTTCTGTTGAGCCCTGCTGCCCTTTGCTGGCAATGTCCCGCACCAGTGTGACCCACCAGCCATAGTCCAACACCACCATGGGCCTGCACATGCTGCCACCCACTCACCTGGGTCCCTCATGCTGGAGGCTGCAGCCCCTGCCCCAGGGTCGTCCCCGGGGACCTGCCCCAGCACATGCTCCAGGAGAGGAGTGGGCAGAGCACCAGAGGCAGGCCATCACCCTGCCACGCACGCCCCTGCTGCGCCCTCCCTCCCGTCTTCCCACGGACGGCCCTGTCATTGCCCAGCTGCCCAGCCCCTCGGGGCTCACCAGGCTTGTTGAGGAGGCACCGTAGCTCATACTCCACTTCGGCCTGCCGCTGCTCCAGGTTCTGCTGCTTGAAGCTGGGGTGAGGCGAGGACCATCAA